CCCCAAAACCCCAAAACCCCAACATCTAAAATATCAATGGAAATCTTCAATAATTTATGAAATTAAGAATAATTCGTAGAATATAATCATTATTTTTTCTTTTGAAATTTATCAAATAGCCATGAGTTCAAATTTAAATACAAATGAAATAATCGATTCTAAAGAGATGCCCTTTTCATCCCCCTTAAGCAAGCGCTCTCTATCAAACATCACTATCAAGCTATCTCTTGAAAAATCTTGCTTCTCTTTAACCTCAATCATAATTCTGGCAAACTCTTCAAAATCGTAGAAAATTGTTTGCATTACTTGCAGTAAATACTCTTGATAGCCGTTATCTTGGCTTTATTCTTCGAGTGGGTCTTCATCTTAATCACTTATAACTATGAGTTTTTAGCCAGCAAAATTTGATGGTATTCTCACTATTCCTCTAGATATCAAATTCTGGCAGATTTATGATTTGACCTCTCTGTATGAATCAATGCAGATTTCATATATTTTCTCACATGTAACCTGCAGTTCCTTCAAATTCAACTTGTAAATATTGATATCGTTTAGCTTTATGTTGTTTTCACTGGCAACTATTTTATGGAAGTTTTTAATAAAGTTATGCAGCCTGTCTCCAGATAACTTATTAGACAGGTACATTTTGAGATGATGTAGACACTAATCTGATTTTAAATGGGTGTTATCGAAGAAGAATTCTCTTCTCAAAAAGTTTTGGTTTTTAAATACGTCGCTATATCATCATATTTTAATGGTATCTTACTTAAAAGTAAATAGCTGGTTGAGCTTATAAAACATATAGAGATCATTATTTGAATATTGCTTTTTAGATATCCCAAGAAATCTTGAAAATAGTTCTAGCTTGAAAACTCTATCCTTGCTTTCCATAATTGTAACTAAAAGTTCTTTCAATTTTTTCTCAGTGATTTTAACAATACCATACTTGTTCTAGAAAATTTTAAACTGTGATTAAATTTACATAATAGAAATCATAAACATATTCTGATAGGGGTTAACTTTTGATAGATTAAGAATCTCTCCCAGATAAAGCCTTCTCATAATACCAACTGTTAATCATTTTTAGTAATAACTTGATCGAAATACTGTTTGCATTCTTCACCCATTCTCTGTTTTCTATTTATGAATTAGTTTAGTAAATTTGACTTACTATAATTTTCAAAAAAGTTAACTAGATACTTGCTTATTTGATGTTATTTTCCAGTTGATGAGTATTCAACTGGTCTTCCAAGATTAAAAGGCATAAAAATCTATGGTTTAAGCCTTTTGACTTTTTTGGAGCTTCTATTGGCTTAAGTTGTGAAATCCATTCCTTAGGAACTATCTTTTATTTCTTGATCTCTTTTATTCTAATCTTCTAGCCTTTTCATTTCTTTAATATAGCTCTAAGTAGTTTAGATTTTTTTCTCAGTAAAAGTTTTGACTGGTTTGTCGGCTTACTGAGTTTTTTCATTCTAGGTTTACTCTTTTTCTACTTTTTCTTAAGCTAGTCTATGAACTAATTTGTGGAATCTCAACCCGAAATCTCTGAGTTTTTAAGATTATATATCCTCAATGTCTGTTCCCTTGTATATCAAATCTCCAAACTCATCTTTTGGCAAATGTTTTATCATGTTTTAGAACTTAACAGTGGCTTAAAGTAGTTTCTTAGGTAGTTCACTTTGATAGACCTCCTCATCAAATGAATGTTCCTTGTTATCTTATTCCTCAATATCAATTTCTTTAAGATAATCCTCGTAATCAGAGTTTGAAATCTAATCCTACTGATTTATGATGTTTGATTGTAATCTTGAGGGTGCATTTGAAGGAGTTAATTATTAAGCAGTGCTTCCGACTTATTACCTAAGCATCCTCAATCTTTTTTTTCTTTGTAATTTTGCTTTCTTTGCTTTAATTAGATAGAGCGCATTAGTTTGATCCTGATCTAGCAATGAATTTAACATCCATGAAGTAGGTTTCTTGACTTCCATTTTAAATTAAGATTTCAAATATTGTTCGATGCTCAAGAACTCTGACTATTAAACCGATTGACCATTATTTATTCGAGCATTTTGCCTATTTGATTCAACATTAGAGAAGCTTCTATCATGGATGTCATCTTCATCTCTCTCACTTATACTTTCTAGGATTATCTATTTTTAAGACTTCCCAGTATTTTGCTTTCTCAAATTGCTTTTAATCTTCTTAGTTTTAAGAATCTCTAATGAGTCAGTGCTTGCACTTGAATGTCTTAAAGTTAGAGGTAGGTAATTATCATCAAGGAGACCAGAAAGTCTATCCTCATCTAGACTCTATAAGAACTCCATATCTTCATCAGGAGTGGGATCATCAAATACATTAACTTTAAAATTTACTTGCATTGACTCATCTTTTGTTTCCTTGTTCTTGATGATCTCAAATTGATTGACGATCTCCACAATTTAATCTGGATGTCTTTAAAATTTCTAGAGGCATAGATCCTCAAACATAATTTACTGATTTGCATCGTCGATAATATTCTCTAAAAATATAAGATATAAATTGATACTTACATATATTTCTTTCAGAGTTTTATCTTTTAATAGTCCCCATTTTTTTCATAGAATTATTGGTCTCACTTCTGTTACTTGGACTTCCAGTTTTGATACTTTTAATTTCATCCTTATTTGTAGTGGTTACAGAGCCCATCTCGACTTTAATAGCATTATTTCTAGTGACCTCGTGCTGGGAACCTCTGCTTCTAGGTATACCATTCTAATCTACCAGTTTTCTATGAGTCATTGGACTTCCATAAACTCCTAGATTCCCATAAGAGCTTTGTTTTTCGAAATTGAAGAAACTTCTATCATAAAGATTATTAGAAACAGCTTAGCTTGCTCTTCGATGGGAATCCTTAGCACTATTAGAATTTATAGAGCTTGATTTGATATCTCCCCTGAGTTTTATGTACAAATCTCTAACTCTTTATCCTTTTTAGGATAGCAATTGTATTTCATCTTATTTTACAGATACTCCTGGACTACCTCCTCCTTGTAGGAGCATAAAACTTGAAGAAAAGTGGTTTCTGTTTCTGAGTGCTCTCAAAGGATCTTATTTTTTCTATTTCTAATCTTAATTACTTTGATATGAGTCATCACTTCCATCACTTATATACCCACAATCGTTGAATACATTTTCAATGGCATCAAGACAATCTCTTATGCTTTCAAGATTATTCTCGTAATGACTTAAAGCTTAGTCTGTGGTCATTTAACTCTTTTTATCTATTAGTTTGTTTTGGATAAACTACCTTTCATCAAAGATCACCTCTTTTTGCTTGTTAATGAGTTTCATGCATTTGTCCTTAAGTTCCTTTTACTGTTCTTAATAGTACTTCTCTAGTCTTTCAAAAAGATCCATTTCTATTTTTTCTTTATCTATGGCATCACTCTCTTTTTATTTAAAACTCAACTCGGGACTTTCCACTTCAATGACATTTATTTGAGGATCTCTTTTCTAAGGGCTCATACTCTATTTTATTTAATTCCTTATCAACCTATTTTTCATTTATTTTTCCTCCAGCTTTTGCTATTTAATAATGCCTCTTACTATTTATTTTTAGTCTTGATTTATCTATCTCAGGTCTCTGATACTCTAATTACCTAAAGTCTCAGATATATTTTTAAGGACTCTGAACTTTGACAGGACAATTTCATCACTCTTCTTTAATTTCTGATATCTATCTTGTAAAGATTTATGTTCATCATTCAAAGCATCATATTTGGCACAAATATCAATATATTTCTTTCTATACTCATCAATGATTTTTTCTCTTTCTCTGATTTCAATTAGTTCTCTTTTCTTTTCAACTCTCCTTTCAATAATTGATTCATATGTTTCAAATAGCTAGAAGAACATTTGCAGACATTTTTCCAAGCATAATCCCTTCTCGTTACACTCAATACTAAACTAAAATATGTTAAGCATACTGAATAAAATACTTATGCTTACTTGGTCAATCAAATTTACTATAGTGTAGCAAATGATAACTTGGGAATTTCTTAGTTTCTCAATTTATGTGATCTCCTTAGACACTACATTTCTCTTTATCATATGCATCAGCCTATAAAATATGAATATCATGTATTGAGGAAGAATTAATACCATTGATAGAGCATTTAAATTTTTTCTCTCTGGCTCATTTTATAGTCAATTTTATAGGTCTTATTTTCCTCATGATCCTTTGGCTTTTTATTAGTCATTACAGAGGAATTGATATCATGGATATGAACATGCTCTGTAAAAAGTTTTTCATACATAATCGAATTCTTAATAAGTTTGGTATATAAATCAAAAAATGAAGACTTCATCTAAGCCTTCACTTCATCTATTTTAGTTGGAAAGATTATTTCCTTAAATACTGTTATCCTTCCTATGTCATGTAGTGCTTCAAATCGCTCCATTGTATGCTTTAGTTCATTTTAATCTTATTAACTTTCCACTTTATTTATATGGTCTTTTATTTTAACATTATCTCTTTCCAAGTCTCTCTCAAATTAGACAAATTTATCATTAATGATTTGGTTAACCATCTTTTACTTCATTTGGCTAATAACATTCTCAATACTTTCCTTTTTGAAATTTATACTGGTAGCAACAGAAGCAGCTGAGCCAGATCTACTTAGCAATTATATGTTTTATTAAAGTATGACTCTCTTATCAAGAGTGTTAAAGATATTATTGTTATGAGGACTATTCAACGCTTAATCATTTTCAAGTATTTATCCATCAAAGTTAGCATGATTCTTAAGTTTTTAAACAATTTCAACTATCTTTTGATTGTCTTCATTACTCCATAGGTCTTCGTTATTATCTTTAGAAAAAATTTTCTTTCTACTTTGGGGAATTTCGATTAAGAAATCTTGGCTCTTTCGGTGCTCTTTATAGAAATTTGTTGATGTCTACGCCTTAATATTTGAGAAATTCGAATTACTTCCATATCTCCTTATGGATTGTTAGGATATATTATTGCTCTAAACTCTTGAAGGGTGAATTGGCTTAGGGAAAAACTACTAAAGAGTCTTTGAGCTAAAATCAAATCCTAATTTGGTTTAACTATGTGAGGATTTCAACTAAGAATTTTATCTTATGTCAGTTTGATTGCTGTTTAATGGTTGACTATGCTCCTAGATATCAGAAAGTGGCTGTTATTAGTTAATCACGACTTTTCTAGGAGAACTTACTGATGTCTATACTGTGTTATGAGTTTTCTTAATCAATCATACAGGCTTGAAATTCTTTTTATCTTTATTATAACTTTTTTCCTTCATGTTAATGTCCTAATTTTTTTTGTCATTAACATTGAATTTTTGTCAAATTTTTTTAATCTCTTAATCACTGCTTTTCCTTTAAATAGACTTCATGAATTGAGAGGATATTTATGTCTGATAGTGTTGTGTGTTGGTAGAAAAGTCAATATTTGGTAGAATTTGCGAGGGGATTAGAGAGTTATTCTGCATAAACAGATTAGAAACAGAATTTTTTTCTGACATATTTTGCATTGAATTCTAAGCAGTTTACATTTATTGCACTAATTAACTTTATTTTACTAATTTATTTTTTCATTTTAAATTATTCATTTATTGGCTCAGTGGGGTTTTGGGGTTTTGGGGTTTTGGGG